GCGTTTATTAGCCACGTCCTTCCCAAACACTTGGTTGCTATTTCGAGCTTTCTGCGCTGTATTGGTTCCACGACAGAACTCATATTTGAAAATAACACAAATTCTTGACTTATCTTGACTTTGGTTTCACAAAAATTGCACTAAAAAAAATATGAGAGATAATCACGAGCCAAAATGTGTGTTTGGAAGACTGAGGATGGACCTTCACAATAGACATAAAACAAGAAATGTTGAAGGGAAATGTCAGATACCAACTGTCAAACTTAGTACTTAAGGAAATCAGACATTTCGTAACCTAACAGCAGAGTTTGTAGTCCACTTCTAAGCCAATAGCTAAGATCCTCAAGTGTAGTTTTGGGGTTGACAGAAACTTTCCTAGATGTGACATCATAGGGGCTATCTGTCCTGTTTACTATTTTTAGTTTACTATTTAAGGAGTCACTTAGAAGTTGAGTGGCTAGAAAAGAAAGTGGCCACAATCATTGGTTTGATTGCATATTTCAGTGAAATCATGAGCAAATTGTGGCCTGATATTAGATTTGTACAGGGAGTGACTAGGGACGCACAGAGCAATATTATGACTAGGAGTCTTAGGGGTGTTGTTCTTAGAGGTAACATATGTCTGTTAACAATTCAGAAGTTTAAACCAGCAGAGAGGAAAGAAAATAGCTTGGAATATAAAAAATAAGAGCATGGTAATCTTTGGTTCTGGCCATCTAGATCTTGTTCCATGAGTCATGAGTAGAAGCTATGTCTTTCATGCTTCTTGATCTAAAGGTCTTGGATAGAAGATGTAATCTCTCTCTAAGATCATCTTCTTCTGGAAGATTCTTAAGAATCCTTAGTTTGAGATCACTGGCTGGGACAGACCTTCAGTAATTTGAGGATGTCTTATGGTACTGTAATTGAGAGCTGTGGAGCGCAGGAGTTGTATTAGTTGAGAACAGAAACTGGCCAAGTCATTTCCATGGAGTGTTTCAATTGCAGTCTTTTTCTAATGATGCTTCAAAAATAGCCAGTCACCTAATCTGAGAGCATATAGAGCTGATTAAATATCTAGCAAGGAAAGATGGTTGTTTCCATCAGTGATGAAATTGAACAGCTCTGGAAAATTATCATCTTAATCAGAGAGAATGGATGAGAATGGATCATCTGTTGACGTATAATTCACAATTGATTTCTGAAGATTCAGTGCTTACCCAGAGAATTAGAACATATTATTATGAACAGTGAGAACTTTGACAAATCTACATGGCCCTGTGATTTCTACGATTAAGTATACTGTGATTGTCCATGACTGACAAGGATATTGAAACCTAGAAACAAAAATCAATTTGAAACAGTCATCGTACCAGTTTTTAGTATTAATATATGAGCATGAGTCAGCCTCTTCCCAACTTAAAGTATATAACCATTGAATATATATCCATTAGTATATTTTATTTGCATATAACTAATTTATAGAGCCCAAACTGCTCTTTTGATTTGTCGAATAAATTAATTTAGAAACGAGTTTTTACAATAGCTTTGAATTAAATAACATTTGAAAAATGTTGACTAAATCTAATTATTTCAATTGTACTTCCTTTTTTAAGGTGAAGGAGTAAATCTTTGTGTTACCTGGTGGCTATTCCAGGAAATTCAAAGATATTTTAGGTGTAAAATACATCTTATCAGTTTTTTATTATTCTGAATTTGGGACCTAAATCAAGAAGAAGAGTTTTCAAATGATACAATAATCATTAACTTAAATCATGATGTCCAAAGGTAAGACATAGTTCCAGACAATATTTGAAAATATAGCAGTTAGAGCAATAATTGTTAGGACCTTTAATCGTTTTGAATAATGACATTTTATTAAAAATTGTTTAAAATATGGGTAATGCCCTAGAATATGTATTTAGGAGCCATCTTTTTTTGAACTTTTATGTTCTTTCCCTAATTGGAAATACTATGGTCATTAAAAAATACCAAAGATACCTCACCAAAGCAAATTAGGCTGTTCAATTCACATCTCTAAAGCACTGGGACCAACTCGTTTATTTTCTTACACAGTCACTAAGATTTTTATTCCATAGTCCTGCATTCTCACAGACTTTTCTCCAATAACCATTTTACCTCAGCATGCAATGACAGTTGTTTACGTTCCCTTTCCAAAATCATCACAAAATTAAGATAATTAAATCTTGAATTTAACATGTTAGCCTTTATGTAATTCACAATTTTTACTACATAACTATGCATACTTATTTGTTTTGTTTTGTTTTCCTTAAAGCATGACTTTTTCCAGGAAATGATGCACTGATTTACATTCTGATGCAAGGTCCTCGATGTAGCTAACTGTTCCAGAATGTTTTCCTATCATTACAGCTCGCTAGAATAGACTCCAGCACAGAGCGTATACTCCAAACCACATCTGTTGACAATGTATTCAATATTTAATGATTTTACACAATATAGTTCTAGAAGTCTAGAACTTCTAGCTTCCAAAACTCTTTTGAGAAGACCAAAGCTCTCCTGATTATCAGTCTTTTCTAAGTTACCGATTACCCATCCCCCCTGGAAGCTTGTAAAGTGTACTGTTTGCCTCCACTTTTCTGAAATATCTAAATACTGTGTCTTGGAGTGGGTCTGTTTTCATCTATTTGTAGTGGGAACTCAGTAGACCCTTCCAGTTTTGCGAGTCATGTCCTTCCCAACGTTTCCTTGAATTACTTTATAAATTTCCTTCCCCTCTTTTCTTTGTTCTATCTTTCTGGAACTCCAAATTATTTGTGTTTTGGATCTCATGGACTGCTCCTCTAATTTTCCTGTTATTCTTTCATATTTCTCTCACTTTGTCTTACTATTCTGTGTTCTAGGATATTTCTTCCACTTTATCTTCCATCCAGCCAACTGTACTTCCAGAGGTATCTGATAGTCCTAATTCTGTGCCTTTAGAGGACTTTGATTTGTAAATCTAATCGGTTTTTGGCTTTCTGTGCTGTCAGTGTCTGATTCTGTTTCCTTGAATCCTCTTAATCAGCTACTTTTTATCTACTTGCTTTCTAATTTCCAAAGTTTATGCTGTGTTCTGTCTCAGTTTTCATC